ATAAGGGAGAGGGTCTGGGGAGACAGATATTGTTTCCATTAAAAAACCATAAGAATTACAATATAAAAATTATTTTATATATTTTTATCAATCACTAACAATTAGATGCTATAAGAGTACATTTTGAGAAAAATCAAAGAACTTTATTACTGTTATTATTAACAGACAAAAAAAATAAAAGACTAAACAAATGTTCTAGTTCAACATCAATTTATGGGCATATAGTCCTTGTTAATGGTTTGCGATAGATGTCTGCCTTTGATGCCTGTGGCTTTTCATCCTTTAAAAGTCTTTGATGCCCTAGCTGGTTTGGCTCAGTGGATAGAGAGTCGGTCTGCGGACTGGAGGGTCCCAGGTTCGATTCTGGTCAAGGGCATACACCTTGGTTGCAGGCACATCCCCAGTAGGGGGTGTGCAGGAGGCAGCTGATTGATGTTTCTCTCTCATCGATGTTTCTAACTCTCTATCCCTCTTTCTTTCTCTCTGTAAAAAAATCAATAAAATATATTTTAAAAAAGAAAAAGAAAAAAAAAAAGTCTTCAAAGTCTGCTGTAGGCAAAGGCAAATGTCAAGAGGCAGGGATAGATGTCAATTTGTGGTTAGGCACCTTTTTAAAATGAGAAATCTGAATCCGTGAGCTAACTCTATTAAATTTGACTGCACGTAGTTTAATAGATAAATTGGTAATACCTAATATGCTTTCTTTCAATGAGGTTGAAGATAATCTTTTATTTGATGTGTTTTCCAATAGGCAAAAACTTCTGGTTGTAAGCCATAGTGTTTGAAATATTTATTTCTGGGGGATGCACTGTAAAATAAATCAGTTACTAAATTATTAATCCCTTTAACTTAATTAATAAGTCCTTCATTGACTTAAGAGGGAGCAGGGAACATTCTCAGATCTACATAATTTGTATGCTTAGTAAATCAGTACACATGGTTGGCCAACTTAATTTATGTTGTTTAATCAGTTACAAGCTTTATATTTAGTTTTTTTTTTTTTAAATGCCAAATTTAGTAATGGGTCATCTTGATAATCTTTAAAACTGTATAATGACAGACTTGAGTATTGTTTAAAAGGTGTTTGTGGTTTTTGTTTTTATTTCCCCAAAAGTTCAAAGAAATCAAGCACTGATTCACTGGGTTTCTTTTACATTGCTGGATCTTGGTCCAGTCCTTTTCTTGGTAAAAATCTCAGGTATGGCTTGGTAAAGCCAGTGGGCTAATTTCCTGCATTTTTCCTGGTCTGTCTTCTACAGAAGTTTCCCAGTGAACCTTATTTAGCTATTCCATTGCTTTGTTCTCAGAAACTAGTGTATTAATATGGACAGGTCAAAATGGTCAGGATCATATGTTCTAAAAGTAAAATCAGGTGGCAAAGCCATCAGGGTCATGAAGACTGTTATAGAAATCCTTAGATTCCTTAATTCTGTTCTAGCCCAAGGAATGTATACAATTACTGCTTTTCCTCTGCTGAAAACTGGCTTTTCATTAAAGGGAGCTGCCAGAATTTCTGGGTTTTCTAGTATATCTTGGCCTGGCTTTTTATTGTTTCTCCTAGGTCAGCAGGGAGTGGTGGTGAAGATAAATGAGAGGGGGAGAAAGGGAAGGGCAAATCTGAACAAGGAAACTCAGAGAGCAAAGAATATAGACATTTCATACAAATTATATATATATGCTGCAGGAGAGCTGGGGTTCTTGGAATTTATCAATCTTAGAGATACAACTTCCCATGTTAATTTTAGTTTTCTATGAAAATCTACAGTCTGAACGAGTTTCTAGGGATATTGTGTGATGGGTTAAAGTATACTGCTTATGGGTTGAGTTCCAAAGGGCTGTCTCCTCTCGAGTCACTTCAACCTTCTTGCATGTCTTGAGTTCTCTCCCTAGCTAATACAACTGTGAGTCTTTAAGTGCATACCCCAGAACAGTCAATTGTTTAATTATAGTTGTTGGAATTCTCTATGGGGCCACTGCTCCTTTTAAGAGATACTCTCAATGCCGAACCGGATGGCTCAGTGGATAGAGCGTCGGCCTGCGGACTCAAGGGTCCCAGGTTCGATTCCGGTCAAGGGCATGTACCCTGGTTGCGGGCACATCCCCAGTGGGGGGCGTGCAGGAGGCAGCTGATCAATCTCTCTCATTGATGTTTCTAACTCTCTATCCCTCTCTCTTCTTCTCTGTAAAAAATCAATAAAATATATTAAAAAAAAAAAAAAAAAAGAGATACTCTCAAATTCCTCCGCAAAGATTCTTAGTTACCCGAGAATACCCCAAATCCGAGCTGGAGGGGATTAATGTCCCTTCTATTTGTAGTTGAATAAATTCAGACTCTCATTTATACAGCAAAAGGTTTTGCTCAGACTTATAGTAGGTAGATCGGGTTAAAAAGCTGAAATTAAAACCAACTGCCTATTTCAACTCCTATCCTATAGTGCCACCTTGTGGATTTTCTAAGAAGAGCTCAAATGAAGTCAGAGGCTCACTATAAGCAAAGGGGGAGGGAGGTTCTGGATTCTAAAATAATTCATCCTCTTTTTCAACAACCCAGCCTTGCAGCCTCCCTGGCAGATACAGTGTCCTTGTAAGGACAATGATGGGCAAGACCATTACCCTGAGGTTGAGCCCAGTGACACCATTAATGTCAAAGTGAAAATCCAAGAAAATAAGGACATCCTGCTTGACCACTAGTATCTGATTTTTGCCGGTAAACATTTGGAAGATGGCTGCCTTCTCTACAATATTCAGAAAGAGTCCACCCTACACTTGGTGCTTTGTCTGCAGGGACACATCTCTTTGCCAGCTCAACTGTGTGACAAGATGATCTGCCACAAGTGTTAAGCCCACCTGTACCCATGCTGTTAACTGCTGCAAGGTGTGGCCACACCAACAAACTGCAAACCAAGAAGGTAAAACAAGGCCCTTCTACCCCCTCTTCTGCTGGAGAGTGGCCTCCTGCCTGAATCCTGTGGCCCTGAGCCCTCAATAAAGTTTCCCTTTCATTGACTGGAGCAGTAAAAATAAATAACTCACCCAAGTTCACCCAATGCAAAGTGAAGAGCCAGTGGGGCTCAATAGGCCCCTGCTGATACCTAGCACTGGATTCAAGTTCGTGGGTGGTCGTAGGTGAGCTTCTTTGGAACCCTGCTGGCTATGCAAAGTAAAGATCCATGAAAGAACATCCAGCCTAAGGAAAAGTCTTGTAAAGTTTATTTGAGCAAAACTGATGACAATTGCCGGGAAGCAAAATTTCAACAAATTGAGGAAATGCTCTGGAGAATGGCAGCTTTGCAGCTTATTTTATACATTAGAATCAAAGGAGACATAAGGAGGCTTCCATGAAATTCACTGGTGGTAGATTAGGAAGGTGAAAGAAAGCAAAGCTGGGAAATCTGCTTTTGGATTAAAAGCAAAACAAAAAAACATATACGCTTCTTTTACATTGGATATTTAACATTTATAGTACATAGAGATGGTATGTGAGTAACAAGATAACAATGTGGTCTCGTGCTCTGGTGCCAGTTGTGCCTTCAAGGGGTCTGGGGGGAAAATTACTAATATTTTTAAGGTGTTATTTTAGAGTCAAAAAGACAATAGACAATTTTTTAAGCTAAAGATTGACCTTTGTCAAGAAGGCTACAGGCCTAGGACATGACTAACCATGACCAACTTCCAGCTTCTAGTTAGGAATTTTTACATTCATACCACCATGTGGTTTCTTTTGGTCCCTGAGCTTGTTAGGTTTAATATGTGGCCTCTTTTTCTTCCACACTTAAACCACAAACTTTATTCAAACTCCATCCAGTTATATGATCATTTTACTATGCTAGTTTGTCATGCTTTGTGCCTTTTGAAGGATGTTAATTCTTCCTTATCCTTTAAGACTTTAATGTCACTGACAAATCTTTGTGAATTCCCTCAGGCAGGAAGGTACTTACTACCTTCCCTTCTACATATTTTCATAGCACTAGGTAATACAAGTAGCCTGGTATTGGTAGTAAATGTTTGGTTCCAATTACCACTTACTCATTGTGTGACTTACATCTTGGCTTCTTTATCTGGTTAAATAGGTTGCTACTATTTATCTCATAGGATTGAGATACATAAAACCAGTCCCCCAGTAATTGCAAAAGCTCCAAAAATGTTTTCTTCATTTTTATGTAAATCTTTAAGTCCCTAATATGTGTAAGATGTTAGAAATACATATAAAAAATGAACAGTCCCTTTGCTATGATAATAGGGGGCTAATAGCAGAAATAAACCTCACAATAGCATCTTTACAGAAAGATTAGTCATTCAGTAACTTCTTTGTGAATGGTCAACATATATAAGCAAAACCATATAATCCTAAAAACAGTTTATGAGTGTAGACTGAAAAAAAATAACAAATAACTTCTAGCAATTGGCATCAGATAAACTATGAGGTTACATTCTGTTTGAAAATAATTAAAAGTATAGTCTGTTTCAAGTGTTGGTTGTAATATAACTTTTACATAAGATATCCTATATAATAAAATGCTAATATGCAAATCGACCGAACAGAAGAATGACCGGTCGCTATGATGCGCACTGACCACCAGGGGGCACACGCTCAAAGCAGGAGCTGCCCCCTGGTGGTCAGTGTGCTCCCACAGGGGGAGGCTGCTCAGCCAGAAGCTGGCCTCACGGCTGGCGGTGGTGGGAGCCTCTCCTGCCTCCGTGGTAGCGCTAAGGATGTCCGACTGCTGGCTTAGGGGGAGAGGGCCTAAGTTGTCAGTAGGACATTACCCGTGGGCTCCCGGACTGCAAGAGGGCGTGGGCGAGGCTGAGGGGACCCCCGCCCCAAGTGCACGAATTTTGTGCATGAATTTTGTGCACTAGTATTTAAATAAGTGAGTAATCAGTAGTATATATTGAATTTCAACTAAATTTGGACAAAAATGTTCTATGTATTGGCTCTAACACATACAAAAACTTAAAAAAGCCCATCTAAGGATTTAATAAGTCACTTATAAAATATGTTATATCCATAAAGTTTATTTTAAAAAAATTGTTAAAAACTAACCATACAGGAATATTTATTAATATACTTAAAAAGTTTGTTCCCCGTGTTGAAGGAAAATACATTAGCAACATCTTCCAAACACCATCTTTATAAAAGTAAAACTTCTAGATGCTGAAATGTACTACAGTAGATTCTATAGTTTACACTCTTAATTATAGGATTGGAAATAATTCTCCCTACTCTGTCTCTCCAAATGTGGCAGTTATTATACTTAAATTAATAACATACAATCATGTTATACTACCACAGATCCTTAAATAGAGTACACACTGCATATTTACTAACAGAGCAAATCTCCTCTATTGTCACGTAATTAATTTAGATAAGCATTTGACTTTAAATACAAATAGAAATACTACATCCCATGATTGTAAACATTCACCAAGAGCTCCAGAGTATAATGAGTAATAGAGGTGGCCCAAGAGTCACTCAAATGTTTCTCATTCATTTGGATATTGCTGAGATTAAGTTCTGAAGGCAAATTATCACAAGCCTTACTTGTATTTCTGTAAGTAGTCAAAAATACCTGAAAGTCATTCTAAAGTCTATATTAAGCACCATTTTCACTTACTTAAATATAGAGTTAAATTCAGCAGTATATGTATGATCATTAATACCAGAAATTAAAAAATAACTGTGGGTCTCAAGTCCCCTTTTGTGAATACATAAGGGGTTCTGTGTTCCAATGATGCTAATAGGAATCACTCATGCATACCAAGGGTAGTAACTCCCCTAGAGCCACATGCAACCCATAAGTCTGAGGCACAAATTATTACTTTTGTCAGTGGACGCTATACAAGCAGATTTAAGGCTGTATTCGGCTATTAAGAGTTCAACCTCCTCTTTAGTATTCTTTTTATATAAATCACATACACGATGCAAAATTTCATAGGATGGGAGGTGAGAAGTCCCCAAACACTTTTTAAATATTCTCCATACAATTCATTATCAGCATATTTACACAAGGGGAGTGTTCATAATTAAAACCATTAAAAATGCAATCATGTTTTAAAACTCTTATCCCAATTTCCCCAGGATTACCCTCATTCTTATTTTCTGATTTTTGGACAAGTTCACATTTGTCAGCTTGTTCACTATAGTCCTTAGGCAATTCTGATGGTGTTCCAAAGGTAAATGCAAATTATATTCACTGCCAACCACTTTGGGACAGGCCTGGTTGCAAAGAGAATGGTGTTCCTGACGTTGAAGAAAAACTAGGAAACCCATCCGGCTGAGCTGGATAGCTTTCCAGAGCTGAAGCTGAATGGACCTGATAGAAAAAAGAACACACAGTTTAGCAGAATGCCAAATTCCACCAAGTCTGCACTTGCTTCTGTCTATGCAACAGTATAGATATTTGAGGTAGAAAAGAAAGAAAAAAAGTTGGACAATATCAGTCTGCTCAGTCTCCTAAAATTTTTAAGAAATGTTCAACTTCTTCTGATGGTGGAGGCGCACAGAAATGCCATTAAAATGATTTAAAAATAGGTTTTCTAGAGAAAATGTGCTTAAATTGTAGAAGACAAGCTGAATTTAACAGTCATGTATAAATATTCTATTTGTAAAATATTAAAACTCAGATTTGCAAATATATAAGCAGGAAAAACAATTCATACAGATGAATATATTCTATCACCTTAGTTACCTTTCTGAAGGAAGACAAGTATAATTTGCATATTTTGGAAGAATTAGCTATCATATCTCTAGACATTCTGCTAAGAGTCATTTTTTGCAAATGCTGGGATATCACTATTGGTATGGTAAGATTATCACTATAGAAGTTATATGACATTTTATTTATGCCGGACATTGTCTGTTTACCTGCTGTAACAATGCTGACTGTGCAGCTGCATTACGCTGCAATTCTTGCAAGGATGACTGTGAAGGGTTCTGGGAAAATCCAGGGATACCTGGAAGGGACAAAAGGCCTGGAAAAACAGAACTGCCTGCAGCTTGAAGTCCAGATGATAAGCTAAAATGATAGGAAAACAGAAAAAAAAAATAAGACATAAAAGCTATTGCTTCTATATTTGTCAAATACTATCTTAACATGTAAAAAAAATCTTAGAATTTCTCTGTTGGAAGAAAATCATAAAAGTCAGCCACTCACTAATATAAATGTACTTTCTGTTATAAAGTGTATTATATTCTGAATTCAATTAAGTCTATGTTTTGCATAGACATTATTTTTTGTGATTTTATAATCAGGATAAATTACCAAATACAAATCTTAAAATTATCTGAGTAGGCATTCATGTTTTATATATTTACCTTAACATGATTGAAGAGTCATAAAACATTTTCTTAAGCACTGAAGTTTCAGCCCAGAAAAACATAATTTGGCACCACCGAACAATTATATTGACTTTAATTTGAATGACTTAAAAATAAGACTATGAGCTATGAGTTAGGTAAAGAATGATTTTATCCTATTTCTAAACTATCCACATACCTGGCTTGTGCAACAAGAGCAGAGTTGAAATTGGAACTAAAAGCTGAAGCGAATCCTGGGAGGACAGGAGCTGGTGATGGGGTCGTAGCAGTGACAGGTAGTGGTGTGACTGCTGCAACTGTAGAAGGTGCCTGCAGCCCCGGGAATGAAGGGAGAGCAGGGGTAACACTGGGGGTGTTAGAGACAGAAAAGCCAGGGTAGGATGGATTTGAAGATGGCAAAGGTCCTTGAGTAACTGAAAAAAGTGAGGGGACAGCAGTTGACAAGGTAAGGGGGAAAGGTGTTGCTGAGACTGGTGCTGAGACAGAAAGCCCTGAGAGAATAGCTGATGTAGAACTAGGATGAGGGATAGATATGGATGTGACAGTTGCAGATGAGGTGACTATTAATGTCCCTGGAAGAGATACTGGTGGATTAAGAGATGGATTACCTGTCAAAGGAAAATTACTGGTCAAAGAAGTAAAGGGAGGAAGAGCAGTGAATACAGGAGTGATTGGAGTGGAGGAACCATGTGGTGGAAGGGAAATAGAAGAAAGGGGATTTGAAACATTCAAGGGAGTACTCAAACTGGAAAGACCTGATAATGCAGGATTAAGGCAAGTAGATAAACTGATGGGCACTGATGTTGAAGTATATGCATGACCTAGTGTCCCTGACAAACCTAAAGTGCTATGAGAGGGATTCACAGAATGAGATGGACCTTTAAAGGCTGAGGGAGTAGGACTTGTGGGTTCAGCTTTTATTGTAGCAGAAATAGTTGTTACAGCAGGGTTAGATGTAATATGCAAGTCTGAGTTACTTGGATGGGGGCCATGCAAAAGGATAGCTGAGGAACCAGAGCTAACTGGCCCTGAAGTTAAAGCTGATTTTGGAGTAGCTAGAGGAGATTGGACAGGCAAAGTAGGGGGAGAGGAAGTTGCGTTGGCCACAGGAGATGGAAGGCCTGGGAACATGGCCAATCCTGGAGTAGAAGACTCCTGTGGGGTGGGAATAGCTGATGGGGCATAACACTTGTTAGGGGCTAAAGCAGGAGAATCTGAGTTGTGATTAGTAAGAGAAGAGAGTGAAGACAACCCACTTGTAATAGCAGTGGATAAAGCAGGAGAGTTTATTAAATTGGTATCCTTTGATGTCAGAAAGCCTTTTAACGCAGACAGAAGAGGATTATTTAGACCAAGTGGACAAGCAACACTGGGAGCAGAACCACCAGCAATTACAGAAGGATTTGGGTTGGACATGCCTTGGGATGTTGGTGTTAAGGGCAAGGGGAGACCTGTAAAAACTGATGACAATGAAGCAGGATTTGGGCTGTTGGTAGAACCAACAGTAGAGGTGGCAGAAAATGGGAGGCTAACAAAAGAAGCAGAAGTAGAAGCAAATGTTTCATTGGAAGTAGGAGTGGCCCGAGGTATAGATGTGGCCTGAGGGACCGGGGTAGAAGTGGCAGAACCTGGCAGTGGAACTAGGCCAGGAAAAACTGAAGGAACAGGAATAGACATTGTGCTGTGGACAGAAGTGACAGCTGGCAATGAAGGGGTTCTGATAACTGTTGGATTTGGCATTGATGGCTGAGGTGTATGAACAGTTGAGGAGACCTGCCCTGGGAACACTGGAAGGATAGTATTCAGCATGTTCAGCCCAGAAACTGTGGCAGTTGCTGATGCTGATGAATGATTTGCTGCCTTAACAGGGGATGCAGTAGGAACAGGAGTTGCTGCAGGTGTTGCAGGATTAGAACCGTGAGGAGAAAAGAGTTGACTTGCTGGGGCAGAAAATGCTATTGGGGGGAAAAAGGCAAAAATTTATCATCATGGTGAAATGTCAAATTTTAAATCAAAATAAAGGCATAAAACTTTTTGTAATATTTAACAAATATCAAAGTAAATCAATGACAGGGATAATAGGCTATTCCAATGTATATATTACTAGATTCCATTACCAGGATTTTCACTATGAGGCCCTGTTAGATCCAGTTGTCTCAGACTCTGCTTAGAACACTCATTCAACTCATAGTTGATAAAGCCTTGAGCAGTTAGCAAATAAACTTTCTTTTCATATTTTCCCAATTATTCAAAATTTAAAGAATTTGTTTTAATTGTGATTAATGTCAGTGTGCTAACTTTTCCTTTAATTCTTTCAAGCCACTTATCTAAAGTAATAATACAAGTCTTAAGAGCTTTTAGGACATCACTTTCCTTGTAGGGGCATTTAAGGCCTTCCAGGATTTATGCCAATTTCTCCAGTCTTCTTTGTCGAGACTTTGTGAGTTGAACTAAGTATTTCAGATTATCAATCTATATAGATTTTTTTCCTTTAAGCATTTTCTCATACTGACTCCTCTATACTACCTTAACCTCTAGCTTTACATGGCTTGTCCTAGGAGCTCCTTTAGGGACAGAGGCCATGTATATATCATCTTTAGAGCCTTAGCACCTAGCATAGTGCATGGCATGTGTGTATTTAATGTGTTTACTGCACTGGATCCATCATGATTATCTCAACTACAGTTCCCAAACCCATTTAAGCACTTACGCCCAAGACTTCTTAAATTTCTATATTTTTAATCTGATAAAATCTATAAATAATTAACATACACAATACTGGGGATGATTTGGGTTTCTTCCCTGAATCAATTCAGTGACAATGTTTAACTCTGATGATTTATTTGGTACCAAATGGCTTAAGTAGCTAATGTCATAATGACAACTATCTGCTGCTATACTCACATCAAAGTCTGTTTTAGTTGTAAATAGACAATCTTCCTTTTGTAGTAATAGATTGATAAATTTTTGCATGATTAAGACTTAAATTTTAAAATCTATGCATAATAAAGACTATTTTGACAAGGAAGCTAATGTTAATGAAGTTACATTTATGCTAAACATGGGTGGGGAAGGGATCATAGGAAAACTGCATATACACAATACATTTCTATACTAAGTGACAGCCAAAGAGTGCCATATGGTACAGTAGTTTTACAAAAGAAATATGGTAGAACTTGAAAAACATAATATATAAGTATATAAACTTTAAACTCAAAAGGCCTTAAACCTGTAGCATTTCATATTGTAAGCAGTAATTTAGTTTCAAAAAACTAAGACTAGCTATCATTTTAAATTTAGAGTAAATAAGAAAATAGATTTGTACTTTTTTGGGTATTTGTTTTTATAAGAACTAGAATCAAAAAAATATATACCTATTTCTGTGTTTATAAGTAATGTACCAAAAATTATTTAAGTCAACATTGGTTGGGAAACATTTGAGAATTCACCATCTTATTTAACTACATGCCAGAGACAACATAGTTAATGACAGACTGCAATGTAAAACCAAACTGTCCCATAGTGTTCTTTATAGAGGCAAACTCTGTTTATATACTAAAGCAAAAGCTATATACTATTAATCATATTACCTGCAGTTAAAAAGCAACAAAACAAAAATAAACCCCACTTTCCTCTCATCTATTTCAGTCTTAAACATAAAACACTACCTGTCAGATCTTGTGCTAAGTACTTTATGCCCACTATTTCATTTGTCCTCACATAACCCTCTGAGATAGGTACTAATAGCCCATTTTATAGATATGCAATCTGAGGCTTGGTGTGATTAACCAACTTGTTAAAAGATTATGCAGGAAGGTTTGGAACCCCCACCATATTGTGAGATTTACAAAATCCTTCCTGAAGGAAGCCTCTGAGGGTGGCCATGACTAGGTGTGCAGCACTGCTGCCACCACCGAAGATCTCCACGCCAGACCAAGCCACATAGAAAGCCATCAGGAGTTAGGGTCTGGGGGCTGTGGCATTTGCCAGGATAGGGGCTGTCAGCTCCCTAGCCCTGGGTGTCACTGGAATCGGGAGCTGGACAGAGGCTCAACTGTGAAGCCAGCCAGGAGCACTAGGGGCGTGGGGGGAGGTGGCCGGGTGGCATTGGCTGCAGAGGCTACAGAAGTGCAGCTGGGGATGCCCAAGGCTGAGACTCACCGGAGAGACTGGCAACAGATACCCCGCCATCATCCCACCTCAGAAGTTTGGCCCAATCTGTGTCTGTGGGAGGGGCCACGTGGTATAACTCCGAGACAGCAGAGGGGTCTGACTGGTACACCTAGCAGTAAATCTGAGGGACCCTTTATTCCCTGGAAGAACTTCTGGTAGAGAGCAGGATTGGGGCTGGATAGTGTGCCCTGGAGAAAGGGGGTCAGTTCTACTTTGAACACAGGGGAGGCACCCCTTTCTCCACGTCTGGAACAGCTGCTTCTGTCCCACCCTGCAGCAACCTGAGGCAAGGAGGAAGGGCTCTGGGCTGGAAATTTGCACTGGTGCAGCTGGGTCTGACAGTGTGGGGGGACTCTGACATTTGGCCTGGTCAAAGCCTGGGTGAAGACCCGGCCCAGAGGTGGCCAGATGCACAGAAAGATTAGAGTGCAAAGCAGGGCTGATTTTTATTTATTTTTAAATCCCCTCCTGCTTGAGGTGGAAGCAAGGGGGTGCAAGTGAGCCACCTAGAGGTGAGGCATTTAAAGGAGAGGAAGTGCCAGCCATCCCTCCTATAAACTACAGGCACCACCCCCAACATAAGTCTGTTTAAACCATCCTGTCTAGGACGGGGATAACCCACAGTGCCCAGTTCTACAGGGGAAGGTGTGGGGAAGTATGAAACTTGTTTGGAAAGTTTGTAAGGAGGAATCTCTGAAAGGTCTGGGGCATCCAGGGGAGCTGACCAGAGGCAGCTACCCCTGCCTTAACTTTTCCAAATAAGTCTGAGCCCCTGGGTGTTTTACTGGAATCTTTATGTTTATTAGTCTTTAGACGTCCTTGCTTAAAGGACACTGCAGATGCATGTGTCTTCTCAAGGATATTTACCCTGCTGATAGTATCTAGAAGTTAATTTTAGTTCAAGCTTTTGTTTCAATAAAAGCGTAAAGAGGCAGATGAACAGGGCTGTCTGGTTCCCATAGCCTTCTTGTTCACAGAAACACACGTCAGAGTAATTATTCATCCATCACTCAGGATCTGTTAGTCAGCCCTGGCAGGAAGGAAGAGCAACTAAGAACAGGGACATTCAAGGTGTGAGAACTGAGGCTGATGCAGCCACTGGGCTATAGAGGCTCTTCCCACTGCACTACTTGGGAATCCACCTTGTCATGCTTCTGTCAGGTTGCCCAGGGCCAGGCAGGGACAGCAACTGACATTGGCTTGCACCAGAGAACCACTTGAGAAGCCTGGAACCAACACATCCCAGGCCAGATTCAACAACAGAGCAAAATCCAGTGAGCTCCACAAATAGCAGATCCAAAGGTTTTCTTTTCTTCTCTTTTTTTGTTCATATCTATTATGTCTCTTTCCTTTTATTCTATTCCTCCTTTACTCTTTATCTTTAATATTTCTTATTTTATTACTTTCTATTCTTGTTTTACTTTACCTATTCTATATTTTCATTTATTATTATCCTAAAAATTATTAGTATTTCCTTTATACTTTTATTTTTTATACTTATTCTATTTCTTTTCTTTTTCTTCTTTGATATCCTCTCTCTTTTTCTTTTTGTTTTTTTTCTCTCCTATAATACTTTTGGTCTTTGTGGCTTTGTTTTTCTCTTTTAGTCTTTAATGTTTTAGTTTTGTTTTATTTTTCATGTTGTTCTTGGTTTGGCTTGCTTTGTCTTGTTTTGTTCTATCAGCCTTGTTTTGTTCTGTGTAACAGTTGGCATAACATGATTGGGGCTGAGCCAAACAGGCAGCAAGCGTGAGGGCTGAGCTCACATACGAAAGGGATGACAGAATTCAAGACCCAAATACAACAGGAGGGCCCACAAAACCCAAACGGGATATTCCTACTGCACCCACGTCAGAAGGTCAAGGGGGCCACTTCACCAAAGAAGGCCACTTCACCAAGACAAGGAGACATAGCAGTCATATCAAATACACAGGAAAAAAAACAAAACCACAAAGAAACAGCAACAATGGGAAAACAAAGAAACAGGCCCCAAATGAAACAACAGGAGGAATCTCCAGAAAAAGATCTAAATGAAATGGAGGCAAGCAATTTTTCAGAAACAGAGTATAACATGATGGTTTTAAGAATGCTCAACAAAGAGACAGCATGAAAAGGACATAGAACCCATGAAAAACAAACAGTTGGAAAAGAAAAATGGCATAGCTGAAATAAAGAATACACTACAAGAAATCAACAGCAGGTTAGAAGAAGCAGAAATTCAAATCACTGAATAAGAAGACAAGGTAGAAAAATCACTCAAAAATAGCAACAAAAGGAAAAAGAATAATTAAAAAGCATGAGGGCAGCTAAAAGTAACTTTGGGACAACATGAAACTAGACAACATTCGCATCACAGGGGTACCAGAGGGAGAAGAAAGTAAAGTGAACAAGGGATAGAAAACCTGTTTGAAGAAATGATAGAAAACATCCCTAATCTGATAAAGGAAAAAGTCACACAAAAGCAGGTAGGACAGCAAGGCTCAATCAAGATGACCCCAAGATACAGCATATTAAAATGGCAAACGATAAAGACAGAGAATTTTAAGGGCAGCAAGAGAGAGGCAGTCAGTCACCTACTAGGGAGTTCTCATTAGACTGCCAACATAGTTCTCGACAGAAACACTGTAGGCCAGAAGGGAATGGCAAAAAGTATTCAAAATGATGAAAAGCAATGATCTGAAACTAAGACTACTCTATTCAGCAAGGCTATTATAAAAAATTTAAAATAAAATAGCCTCCCAGAGAAAAAAAGGCTCACGGAGTTTATCACCACCAATCCAGC